TGAATGGGGCTGCCAGCAAGGAAGGGGAAGAGAGCATGGAGGGAATAAGGATAAAGTGCCCTCATTTCAATTGTTCTTAGCACAATGTGGAGGCTCATACAGGCAACCCAAGAAGAAAGAAGAGTAACCCCAAGGCTCCTCTATCTAGGATGAGGGGTCCAGGAGGCTCCCCTGAGAATATGGTGACTGTAGGGATGTCTTCAAGCCTCAAATTCATTTTACTGCAAGGGTCTGTCTCTTACCATATCAGCCCAGGAAAGGTCCTGAATCTGATGGCCAGGGAAACCTGGTTTTGAACAGCACAGTGATAGGCTTATTATTGTTCTGCTATACTCATTCCAATATAGATACAACCCCTACCCTAAAAAACTCTGACAATCTAAACAGAGTAGACAAAGGATAAGAAAAAATGTGAGAAAATTTGCCTGAAGTCAATTTACAGTTCAGTAGCAGTGCCAGAAACCTCATTCCCACATCAATGCCGGTAGATGGAAGGAGGGAGGCTGGACAAGGCTGTTTCTAGCAGTGAGAGGTAGGGAGAAATGTTTCACAGTAGTGCACTCACCTTGAAAATCTCCCACCCCCTGGAGCTGCCTCTTATGGGTGACAATGTAGAGACAGATCTGCTCGGTTTAGGTCAATGGATGATGAAGGAGAGGGTTTAGGAGGAAAAAGCCTAAGGAAAGGTGAGGTCCCTATTAAATCCAGGCAGTCAGGTCTGGTGAGGAAAACAGTTAATGAGGAATATTCCTCTGACTTTCAAGTTTTAAGTTCATATGGTTGCACAAAGGAGGACCACTGCATTTCAGGACACACTGGGGAAAAACATGGGAGTGGCAGGGTTGGCCAGGGGAAGAAGAACAAGTTGCCCAGAGAGGTGGTAGATGGCCCATCCCTGGAAACATTCAAGGTCAGGTTGGACAGGACTCTGAGCAACTTCATCTAATTCAAGATGTCCCTGCTCATTGCAGGGAGGTTGGACTAGGTGACCTTTAAAGGTCCCTTCTAACCCAAACCATTCTATTATTCTTCGAAGAGAGCAGGGAGAGCACAATGCAGCCTCATAGCCTTTTTTCCCCTCTGCAAGCCTGCAGAGAAATATAGAATAGAGTTAATTGGCAAACTCATTGCTTATTGCAGAGCTAATTAACAAATTTGCAAGTCCTTCATCTCCTACAGATCTTCTCACCAAAATTTCTTGCACTCGCCTTGAACTTGTTAATCCCCAAGGAAGCAGCTCTAGGGACTGCCCTGTCAGACCTGTGCTGATGAAGAGGAAGCTGATGCTTCCACACAGATGTGTGGGAGTTGGACATACTCTGCAGTCCCAGGCATAGATCTGCTACCAGTTAATTTGTTAATTAACAAAAGGTCAGAGGCACTTCATCTGGAGCAGAGCTCTTTGTTTGAGAAATTTTGCTAGTACGTGCCTCAGGTGACATCTTCACAGTGCTAATAACACCTGCCCTTATCTATTATCGTCTCTTTTAGCCTCCCTTCTTGCCATGGTGGTCTTGACTAGAAGCTTGAGAAAAAGTATGAAACAAACTGGGTTGGATACCAGAGAACTACATCCATGTAAACAAACTTTCCAAGCATTCAGACTAGTTGGGTTCACTTTTTTTACTTCAGCTACATCTTTCCAAACTTCATGGCTTGGAACCAGCCTGCTCTTATTGGATTTGTGAGATGGAAAATGCTGAGATCTTGTGATCAAATCTGACCATTTCTAACCTGATCATTGAAAGATCAGAAAAGCCTTGAATCCAGATTAAATCACCAGACCTTGCGAGTTTTGCTAATCATTACCAATAACCCTGTGATTGCCACGCTGGGGCTCGTAGGCAGCTCCGTTGTGCAGAAGCAGTTTAAGGGGACCTGAAACTTGTACAGCAACTGCAGAAGGGTCAGCTTAACCTCAAGCATTGCCACTTGCAATTTGCAGGTTAAGAAATCTTCTGTAAAACATAACAAGATTGTCTCAAACTTTGCTAGACGACAGGACTGGCTGTTAATTCACACAGCAGATTCAGGGCCAGCTTTGCAAGTAAAAGGTACAACCTCAGAGTAGCAGAAGAATTGATGTTGTCTCAGTCTCCTGAGAGAAAAGTGTAAACCAATGTGATTATACTTTATTGCAATTAAACCAGCTCTTAAGATGTTTTGGTCCAGCTAATCTGAATGATGCCAAACCAAGTTAAAATAATAAGATTAAAGAAAACATGGGTTTAGTCCAGATATAGGTCTTATTTTATAGGTCTTTATCTTAAAGCCTTTAGAGAAACAGCAAGGGAATTTCATTGTTCAACCTCTTGCAAAAAAAAAAAAATTGAGGTGGACACAGGCCTGCTGAGTCTTGCCCAGCTTTATGATCAAAGCAACATGGCTCTGCTAAACATGGAGGAATGACCCATGGGGATTTTGTTGTAAGCCTAAATCTGGCCTAACTATCATTAAGGCTTGCCTTAAATATGGTACGTCTGATGTTAAAAAGCTTGCAGATAGATTATGCCTGTGTAAAATGGGAAGTGGGATAGCTGTTGCTTTTGTCTGACAGATGCAATGGGGAACTGAGCAATGAATTATTGGACTTTTTCGCTTCCTCAGGCTCTGCAGTTACCTTGCAACAGCATGCACTTACTCATGTATTTGGCAACAAGTTCACTAGGTTGGTAAGGAAAGGCATAGGGGGTATCAGTGCACCTGCTCACCTTTGTAATAACCAAACAGAAGCACAAGCTTGGAGTTCACCCCAAATGCAACAAGAAAAGAGCTTAAAGAACAAAACCCTGTAACACTTGATGCCTCCCAGGATGACCCAGCTGTGCTGCTGATGGTCAAGATGATCAGCAGAGTAAATGCTTGGAGAATGGTGGTTTAAGTGCCTGGAGTTTGCAAGTTTTGTTGGATAAACCTCAGCTTTGGGCTATAGTTTAGAATCTAAGAGGATGCCACCTGAACTCCTAACTGGGGAAACCCTTCAGTGATGCCCTGCGACAGCAGGTGTGATGCTGGGCCTAACACTGCCTACTACTGTTGTCAACGGGGAGGAGGACATGAAGAAGATGAAGAACATGGGGCATGGTGCACAAATTACTGAATAACCGAGACTTGTGATAAGAGATAGCAAACGGGGGCTCTCCAGGTAAACAGAAAAACCTTGTTCAACCTTGTTCACATGTTTTATCCATTTACCACTGCTTGGGGAAGGTGTTGAGAGCTGATCCAGATCACTAAAGACTCTGACAGACATGGGGCTTAGCCTGTGGAGAGACAGGGGAGACTGTGAATGGGTCTTCTGAGCCCCTTCACTGCAAACATCAAAGGATATGCAGTTTGGAGCTAGGGAGGTTCATTACTAAGGTTGGTCTTGTCTTTACTCATGCAGCTTGGGGCTAAGACAGTTCCTTTTTAAGGTCGTGTTGGTCTTTACACTGCCAGGCATGCATCGCTCCATGCTTGTGTCTGCTTTTGGGCATTTCTTTCTAGCCAGGCATGAGCAAGGTGGGGGAAGCATTTAGCACCAGTGTGCTTCCCCAGTTGTTTCCCCCTTTCAAAGCCTTAGAGTCTTGTGGAAGGGAAACACAGCCAGCAGGATGTGCTGAGCTGCTGTACTGGGGTTTATGGTAATGTCTGGCCCATTTCTGCTGGAAATTGCAAAATCTTTCCTGTGGAAGGAGCAGGGAGTTTGGCCCTTCACGTGCATATAGACTGTTACATATTTAAATGGAGAGAAGACTTAGGAGGCATGTGAAACATCGGAACAAAAAAGACAAGGGGGCAGGAATCATACAGTTCAAAACTGTTTTTCCACAGACTGCTATGCAGTGTTTTGGTTTGGTTTTTAATTTTTTAATTCTTGTAACTCTTAATTCCACTTTTTTTCTCTCTGTCTGTGTTTACATATTTACACTAGGAGGGAAATATCCCTCTTTTTCTTTTTTTTTTGGATGGATGAGGGGAAACACAAGAGAAACTTTCAGAGTGCCTGAATTGAAAAATTATTTATTCTTTCTAACAAAGTTCTTTAAAGTGCTATAGACACAGAAAGTTGACATTAAACTCTACCAACCCATTACAGCTCCCATCTGCCTTTCCACCTCCCCCCCCCCTTGCCCTCCCAAATGGAAGAAAATACCTATCCCGAGATCAGAGAGCTCACGCCTGCGAACAACAGACAACCCTGAGACACGGGCACAGCTCGCAGCCTCCCCGTATCCCACCCGGCCGTGTAGGTCCAACACCCGCATCTTTCACAGCCTCTCCGAAATCCTCTTCGCCGGTCTCGGTGCCGGCAGCCCGGAGAGCAGCTCGAGCGCGGGATGGAGCAGGAAGCCTAAAAACTTCGGTCTGCAGAGAGACCTCTAGTGTTTTTCTTTCTCCATGTCCTGGCAGAGTTCCTCCAAAGTACAAATACACACAGAGCTCCCATTGTTTGCAGCACTTCACAA